TTTCCCCCCCCCCCCACCCCCCCCAGAGGCTTATGTTTTTCTACTTATTCTCAGGAAGCTTGAGAATTTCTTTCCAATTTCTTTTTGGGCTGTTTCAAAGGTGGCAGAAGCAACCATTGCTGGGATTGTTGTTTTCTCTGACACGTCATTCCATCACTCAAAAGCCTCCCTTGGCTGCTCACATTTGAAGTCTGAAAAAGTCCCAAGGAAGGACTTCCCTCTTGAAATCTTCCCCTGGATCTAACAGAAGCTCAGAAGTCCAGGCGAGCTCTGGTCTCCTGGGGAGAGGATTGTACAGGACATCCACCCTTACTTTGGCCACCTTGTCCCAAGACAAATTCTCCATCCCTCAGAGTTTCTCTTGTGTTCTCCTTTGATAGAAAATCTGAAAGCGGTAGAAAACAGACTCTGATTTTTGCCCTCGCACGAACATAAGCAGGGATTTCTCCTCTCCTTCAAAGGAATTATCCCAAACTATTTTTTTTCCCCATCAAACTGAACAAGACAGGTAGAAAAAAAGATGAGAAATGTCCTGCCCGTTTCTACTACACTGCCTCCATTTCCATGGACAGGAGCTTGGAACCAATTCATCCCTTCCCTCTTGATCCTGTCTTAACCGCACAGAGTTTAATTTTAACTAGCTGATTAGAAATTAGCAGGAGTCTAGCAGGGAACTGGAGGCCTCCCCGAGAAATGGAGAAGGACATGGATTGGGACCCCAACGCCTGAGGAAAGCAGTCCGAAGTATGCGAAGCCAAAAGAATAAGTTGGTTGTCTTGGCTGAGAAAGCTCCCGGGAGAAATCCGAGTGGCCTGGTTTTCCACAGCTGAGGTCAGCTTGTCCTTCGCCGTTGCGGTAATGAATCCGTTGTCGCCATTTTGTAGAAAGCTGTCACTTTTTGGAGAAAGGTTATCTGTCCTTGTTATTGATAAGCAAAAGGAGATGATACTGAATGGGGTGTTACTGTCAGGCTCTGACCATCTGCAGCCATTTCAATCCTGCGCGAGGTTTTTAAACACACACACACACACACACACAGGCATTAATACCCCAGATGAATCTCCTTTTCCGGTTAAGAAATAAGAGTGTTGTGTTGGAAGCCACTAGCAATCATTTGCCTTTATTGAAGCTCAGCGGGCACCCAACTTTCCCACGGCCAATTCTTTAAATCCTTTTGACAATTGTACCTAGCAAATGCGTGGCTCTATTTCTTCTGGCACATTACATGTAGACCAGGTCTGTGCCAGTTCAGCCTGTAGATATGTTTTGAGCTGGGTCCCAGCCAGACTCATTCCAAGATGAGGATTTAATTCTTTAAGTCTTGGGAATGGATCAGCTCCATTTCAGTTCTCCTACTCAATCCTGTACTCCTCTTATTTTGTTCCCGTGACTTCTGCTTCTGCCCTTGGAAACGGGCAAAGATTTTTCTCCCAACCCTTTCACCTAAATCTCTATTTACTCCCCTCGCATGCCATACCTTCCCCTTGGGGAGGCCTCCTGTCGGTGTGAATTGTGTTGAAGACCAGCCCCAAGGTGGATTTCTTTATTTGTTGGTTATTTACGAATTGTGATTTCCATGTTACCGGATTGTATCAACTCTAGGCAGCCTTCATCCCTAAAAAGTCATAAAACCACCATTAGAAACTACAGTGAAACTCAGCATTGTAACATCATATCCCTAAAACCTCTCTGCATTTTGCCACCAAATAGGTGACACTCCCTGCTTTGATGGTGGTGGTGGTGGTGATTATTAAAATCATTTATTATGGTTAAGATTGTATCATTTAGATGAGAATGTGTGTAACTCAGGGTTGAACTGTGGAATCCATGGTGTTCTCTGAGCTGGGTTGTTTTCTTGCAGACGTTTCATTACCCAACTAGGTAACATCATCAGTGCCATTGATGATTAGTGACAATGCACTGATTACTGATGATAGCACTGAAGATGTTACCTAGTTGGGTAATGAAATGTCTGCAAGAAAACAACCAAGCTCAGAGAGCACGATGGACTCCATTATATCATTTTATTATTAAAATTTAGGAGGAGGAGGAGGAGGAGGAAGAGAATGCAACCTTGATGTTTAAAGCCTAATAGAAGCTTACTCTACAGAGGCTGCATCTTATTGTAGTAACTCCAGCCCAGGGAAAAAAAAATAAAAAATTAAAAAGTTGAATTTGGATGGTACATTCTGGAGTGGGGTGGAGGGCTCAACAAAGGAGTTGTAGTGTGACATGCAGCTGTTGGTTACTCCCTGCTCTGAATTTGGGGTCTGGTGACGATAGGGCATGGATGGAGGATGCTGAAATAAGCAGAATTCCAAAGAGCAGGATTGCATAGCATCCTTTGTACAATTGTGCATTCTGAGCAATATTAGGAAATATTTTCCCTTCCTCCCCTCCTTTTTTTCCCCCAGCTTTCCACTTGCCAGTAGAGTAAATATTAATGATTTTAAAAGTGATTGAAGACATTCGCTCGAGAGGGAGGTTGGGGAAAATCCCATTAAGCACTCAAATCTTTTTTTTCCCCCCACTGGAAATGTCAAATCTTTCTTTTTGGGGGGTTTATAAATAACGCATAATCACCCACAACAAACCATATAAAAAGCCTTTTAGTTGCGTTTCTCCCTTTTTCATTTAAGTGTTTTGAAATGCTTCAGAGAATTTGCGATATCCTTATCAGCGTGATAAAATATGAAAGCTGTGATTGCTAGCAGCGTTTTGCAGACGTGAATTCCATCTTGGTTGATGAGGTCTGATAAGGCACTGCTGTGTTATACAGTCCATAATCTCCAACCACCAGTGTAAGGATTAATTTATTTGGGGCAGGGAGGGGGGAAGAGGGAGAAGGGGAGGGTGAAGAAATTCTAGCTGACAACCTCTCCCCCAGCTGCCAAGCTCAGTAAAAATATTGCACATTTGGTGTTTATAAATTTGGATAAAGAGGGTATGATGTTTACTTCGGATGGAATATCTTTAGACGTGAATCTGTATGCTCGTTTTTTCTCATCTCTCAGGGAGATTTTGGTACTGTAGAGGAGGGGAGAAATAAAAAATGAACATCTGAATTGATTGGAAAGAGAGAAAAAAGCACGCCGTGCTTATTTTTTGATTTTGGGGAGTCGAGAGACACGGAAAACCATGCGGCTTAGATTTCAGTTGCTCTTTTTTCACCCCAATACGCTGGTTTGTGTCTTTAAATGCGCATTCTTGCAAGGAAAGAACTTCTTCCCTATCTGGGTTTCCCAGCCCCCCAATTTTTCCTTTGTGGAGATCTTCTCCTGTTCATTGCAAATCTCTTTGCCTCTGCTTGGAGACTAGGAAAGCAGAGTCCATAAAAAGCCAGCTTCCTGAAGGGCTGGATGGAAAGCACCCGGCGACATCGTCCAGCCTAGACGTAACTTGGAACAGTTATGTTCCAAAGCAGGTCACCCACCCCTGACTTGCTTCTCTTCTTTTCATGCCGACATTTCAAGCAACGGGTCTGTTGTTGGTGGAACCTGCTCTGGAATCAGGCCACCAGCTCTGCCAGGTCAGAGGCTGGTGGCCAAGACAGGGCCCTGATGCCACGCAAAGCTATTCTGTGCTGGGAGTGGGTCAGTTGCTGTAGCCAGCCTTGCCCTGTCACTTCCACCGCACGTCCCTCCAGCTCACCAACCTGCACCGCCTCCTTTTTGGACTGACATAAAAATATGTAACGACAAGCTGTCCGCCACAGCAGAAATCTGATCAGACGTTGATTCCAGCAATTGCTTCAATGGGCCGAGACAGGAGGCAAACTTGTGCCTCCACACTGCTCGTGCTGATGCAGATTTAACACACTGGGGTGGGGGAGTGGGGGGTGGGCAGCAACCACCCACGATGGGAGACAGCCTTGGAAAAAGGGGGAGGGAAAGAATGGGGTTCTCTGGATGGGTAATTGGAAAACAGATCAAGGGGTTTTGCTCTTTCTCTGACTCCTTGCCTGATATGTGCTCCAACATTATTGCACTTGGAGGGGAACGTGGACCTTGACTCAACCAACAGCTAAGTGGCTCTGACGTATGCCCAGAAGGGGCCTTTTTAAAAATGAAATTAAGATCCAACCATGTTAGAGTTTCCTTCCCTGTCTCTTCTGCAAGAGGAGGGCTTTCAGAAAAGTCCTTCCTTGGAAGGATCAGCTTGTGCTGTTGTCAAACTGGACATCGCCCTTCGGACCCAGCTGGCTCAACCTCCAGAGGAGAGGTGGGATGAAGGAACCTCAGAGCAGGGAATGGAAATGCCTGGACGCCTTTTTGTGTGGCACACATTAGATCTTGGGGGAGAGCAGAGGGAGAGACGCACTGCCTGGAACAATCTTGAAGGACAAGAGAGAAAACTGGGACTGTTACCATTCCTTTTACCAAATTTGCTTGCAAGACCCAGAGTTGGCAAAGCCTGCCACTCTGATCAGCTTTTTTCTTTTTTTCTTGTTTACAAAAAAGACAAAGCTTTTGTACCTTTTGAACAACTTTTGATTATCGCCAACTCACTCTGTTAGTTCCTCCCTGGCACAATCATGGAAGGTTAGGTGATTCCATCTTCCCTGGAGATCATTCTGATCAAAATGTTGGCCACCAAGATTTTTTTCTTTAAAGAATCTCTCTTTACAGAGACACGGAGACCCTTTATTGATTATAAGTTAAGACAAATGTCTTTAGAGACTTAGTTGAGATTTCTTTCTCAATGGTGCTGTGCCAAAATTTCTCCTGGATCTTTTCTAATCAGCCCTCACCGATGAAAGAGAGTTTGCTTTGTTTTATGTGTAAGGAGAAGAGAATTTGGTGAAATGCACAAAGATTGGACTTATTTAGTAATGGGGTGACCAAGGAATGTGTACATGAATGTTTTGTCTTTTATTGTATCTTTTCCTCTAAGATGGTCTGCAGTCTTCCTGGTTTTCTGCCCTCCCATTTGACCCCAAGGGAAGTCATCAAGAAATAACTCTTCTTGTTGGCTTTTTTTCCAGGTTCAGAAGTACAATAAAGTCAGTTAAGTTGGAGAGGCACAAAGAGGATCCCTGCCACTTCTAACCATAAAGCAATCTCAAAAAAGCCCAAAAAGAAATTTGGAAGGAATTCTCAAGCTTCCTGAACATAAGAGGGGAAAGCTAATGGCTCTTTTGCAAGGGAAGAAAACTTTTGACCAATCGCAAGACAGATCTTGATTCGGGATGACTTTAAGGGCCGTCCTTGTGAGAATCCCAAGGTTTTCAAAAGCGTTGACATCAGTTCTCCTGACTACGTTTCTTGTCTTTTTCCTTTCTCCAGGCAAATGGAGGCTGGCAGGATGCAACCACTCCATCTTCTGTGACTTCTCCAACAGAAGGCCCGGGAAGTGTGCACTCCGATACCTCGAACTAATCTCACAACAGATCCCCTCCTCCCCTGTTTTGCCCTGCCCTGCGCTGAGATGCCTTCTACTCTGTTCAAGGAAAAGACGGAAAGGAAAACCCCCAAAAGAAATGTTTTCGCAGCCTATAACGGAGGGCTTTACTGTAAAACCTTGTCGTATTGCAAAATTGGGCATCTGTTTTGTGTTGTTGAGATGAAAAAAAGAAACCTTTTTTTTTTTTTTGGAAGGTATGATTTTAATCCTTTGTGTCGGTACCTCAATCTCACAGAGAGGTGCGCACTCACTCAATGTTAAGGAAAAAGTAACCAAGCACTTTATCCAGCTAGGCCAAGATTGCGTGTTGTTTTGTAGCCCTGTAACTGTTTGAAGGATATAATTTATTACCAAGCAGCTTCTTAAGGATGGCCACCTAGTTGTTGGTTTCTTGGCTTGAAGAGGTAACTAAAGACTCATTCTTAAGAATAACCCCAAGTATCAGGACCAGACTGAGCTTGGGGGCGCTGGGAGAGAAGGGCTAGGAGACCTTCCCTCACATTGAGCTTCCGCTGCGATTGGAAGCGAGTTGCCCCACCTTAGTCGTGCCCAACCTTGTAGAGCAGGGTGAAATTGCTCTTCTCAGAACGTCCTTGGTTTTCTGCAGATTTTGTCGGGACCTCTCCTTTAACCGAGGGGCGGAGCAGCCCTTTTCCCCGCCCCCTCCTTCCTTTCGAACCTTCGCAACAGATGACGGCACAGTGCCTCTTCTCCTCGAGGTCCGTTGTCCGGCACAGACAATCCGTGTGAGGCGGAGACCCTGGCTTTCGACGTTCGCAAAACCCCGGTTGCCACGTTTTACAGTCCAAGTTGGGTGCATCTGCCGGGTTTTGCCACTGCTCCGTGTTGGCAAAAGGCCAATGGGCACTATTCCTTGGAGTGTTGTATATAGTGTAGCAAAAGAATATTTATACATCTCACCAATCAAAACACAGCTTTATTACCTCATGCGAAATCATACAAACCAATAGAATCATTCTTTAGCTTAGAGTGCTCACTACTACCTCTAAACCGGCCTTCGCCAACCTGGTGCCCTCCAGATGTGTGGAACCATAGCCTCCATCATCACTGGTCAGCTGTGTCTTCTGTCTGGGGATGATGGAAATTGTAGTCCAACACACCCAGAGGGTGCTGGGTTGAGGAAGTCTGCTCTAAACAATACTCACGCTGTAGTTTGTCTCTTTTTCTCCCCCCCCCCTTTCCTCCTCTTGAATCTCTTCCCTCCTTTTTGATAGTTTATTTTACCATCTTGTAACAAACTCCTTGGTTCTCTCCATGTAATGTACATTGTAATCTTTTAAATAATAAGGAAAAGAAAACATTTTTAAAAAATCCAGGTTGCGTTCGTGACTTTTGAAAAAAAAAAAAACCTGATTATATATATAAATATATATATAT